CCTTGTTCCACAAGAAGATGAAAGCATCTTACTATAAATTAAGACAGATGTGTTGACTTGTAGTTTTCCACTGTCCAGAATAAGATGTTGAAGGGCCACGATGCAACCACCTACATAGATAGACAGGATGATCTGTAGACAGCATAGGGAGTTTGTTATGCAATTTGTCTTTGTCATTTTGCTGGATAATGTTCTATCTGCTTCTGCTCCTTAGACCCTCTGCATTATGCTCCTTGAGATAAAAGCATTATGAAGGCAAGACTCATAGTGCAAAGGATGCATAGCACAACAATGTTCTTGGCTTGAGACCTGAGATTATTGGAGTCAGTAACTGCTGCAAATTGCATTATACTCACATTGAAATGCTATTTTAAGTTAAATGCCTAGCACTCCAAAGAGATATTGAGAAAATAAGATTTGTTTTAGAGCATGCGAGTGATTTTTCAGTTGTCTACTCTTAAGATCTGGAGATCCCAAAGGAAAAAAAGACTTTAAAAAACCTGCTAAGATTGCAGTTCTATGTGTTATTTGAAAGGAGAAAAAGGGCCATTTATATATCTCGACTTGCTGCCCAGTAAGCATGATTATGCTTCAGGTGTGAAAAGTTTTTAGACAACTTAATGATCTGACCTTTTATTGATGTATACTCTCTATTTTAGTGCTGGTTTACAGATAAATTTGGTATTTTTTTTAAAAAAAGAAACACTTTTATGTAATAGCATTTGATGTTTAAATAAACACATTTTGCTAGACCTCACTTAGTCAATAGATTTTCAGTGTCCTACTTCCTTAGCAGTAATTAAAAAGGAGCCAACAAGGAGTTGACTCCATTTGAAGAAAAGTAAGGCTTTTGATAAATGCCTTGAGGTAAGATGGGCGGCCTATACATTTTATAAATAAATAAAATGAAGCTATCCAGGGAAGTTTACAATTAGATGCAGCATTTTGTTTCCCTTTAGCCCCATTTCATGACTCTGGATAATTCTGTGAAAATAATTTTTTAGGGTTCTGGGAAATTTGCCTGAATTCCAAAAATTGTGACTTAATTCTTAATATCATAACTCCAAAGACTTTAGAATACAATTTCTTCTTATCTTTTTTGTCCAATTGTTACTTTGCACAATTATGTCTTGTTTCATAATTTATATGTTTATTAACTTGTTCTTTCCTAGAATCCTAGTTCGGCTCAGGGAAAGTCTACTAGCTTTTATGTTTTGAACAAGCAGCTTGCTATGATCATAGTGACTCAAATATCACTTCAGCAAAGAAAAAAAAGATGAATTGCAACTTGTTTTACTAAATGTTCTTGCTTTTGCCTTTGTTAGCATGTCTTTGTTTTAACTGCAGCTCTGAATTTCCGTCTCATTGCTTGATGGTCTTTACAGTTACTAAATTACGTTATTACCATATTACAACACTAGTAAGGAATGTTGGAACAATGCACTATATACATCTAGATACGTGTGTGTGTATGTGTTTATATGTGTCTCTGTGTGTATGTATATATATATAAATAGATACATATACATACATACATACACATACATCCAGTAAAAATGCCCTTTAACTTCACAAATAAATTAGGCTTTTTAGATAGTTTAATTTCTAGCAAAGAATCTATTTTATCTATTTTAAATATGTATGTGCACTATATTGTATACAGAGAATAAATGTCTTATGATGTAATAAAGAAATGGCTGCTTATTAAATACGTTGACCATTGAATACCTACAGTTATTCATATTCAGGTCAACAAAACAATATTTCTGATGTGCTGCTTTCACACATTTTCTTGTTTATTGTATGGAATTGCATTGTTTCAAGATAGTGGGAATGATAGCATATGTGATGAACTTATAGTATATTGGGCAGAATACATGTGTTTTGTTTTTCTACTTGTGTGAAATTAATGCTTAAATTAAAAATGCATATTCTATCATATTATTTTACCCGAAGAGAATAGCAATCTGTTCAAATGGAACAATTGCATATTTTCTCCCAACTATTGCCCAGCCCTCGTTTCATTTTTAGATCTTTTCAAAGGAGACATGGACTTTGTGAAATACTTTGCATTTGATTATAGAATTGTAGTCTTGTTATAGACTACAGAGAAATGGTACTTCCAATTCATAAAAACAGTATGAAATTAAAATTAGAAATGTACTAGATTGATAGGACTGTAAGTGAATGAACAAACAAAGACCATAAGTTGAAGTCTTCAAACGAAGTGGCTACAGGTTTGGATTTATAAGAATATTGTAAATAAATAGAAAACAAAGAAACCTGGAATGACTTTTTATGCATCCCTCTTCCCTGTTTTTGGTTTTGGAATCCAGTTCCAAATGCACTCCCAAGTAAGCACGCTTACTTGAAAATATAAATGTTTTAAATGCTGAGTACATTTAACTAAATTTAATTGGCGTACATCTTCAATACCTATGTCTAGCTTAACCTTTTTTGCCATTTTTATTCCTCTATATTGTTTTTGTTCTGCACTATTTTCCCATGGTATAAGGTTTTGGAGCATGCTGGATGAGGAATTCTGGGAATTGAACTACACATGTCTTAGAGATGCCACAGTTGAAAAACATTGCTTTAAAACCTATTGATCATCTTCCATAGCATTATTTTAGAAAAGGATGAGATTAGTGAGACATACAATTAAACTCTCACATAGTTTTATGCTACTGCAAATAACATTGACAAGTTTCAATTATATAGAATAAAAAACAACTCTGTATCTAAGGAAATCATTCACAAGCCCAAGAAACCTTCTCAGCTTTAAGCCAATTGTTAGGGATCATGTGGTTGCAACACAAGTAAAGATTGAACTGAATGAACCTTTAAGTCTTTTTTAATTTTTTATAATTCTGTATCAAAGGAATAAGAAAAGACAAAAGCTATCACTTGTTCAAATAACTGCTCAAAAACAATATAATTAAATGGGGTTTATGAAGTAGACTTGGCTAAGCAGAATAAAATGTAACAGAAGAAGCCAGTTGCATAAATTATTATAGCAACAATTGCAAGAGCAAAAGAGCATGAATTGCCCACTTCAAACATATGCTAACAGCATGATCATCAGTCTCCATCTTGGTTTTTGGCAACACTTGCCCAGGACTGAAAATAGGCAGCAATCCTTTCAAATGTGATCTTTGGTATGTTGGATATGTCAATTTCAATACTAAAAATGAAGACCAACTGTGAACCATGGTTGTAATTCTTTAAAAAAAAAATCGGTTGGAAAGCAGCTCTGGGACGTGTCCCAAAGGTGCTTTTCAACAGGCAACTGGGATTTCTTTATTTGTTTTTTTCTTGAAAATGTTTCACTTCTCATTTTACTTCTCAGTTCTGAAGAAGCTCCCTGAATGAGAAGTGAAACGTTTTCAAGGAAAAAAAGAAAAAGAAAGTCCAGTGACCTTTTGAAAAGCACCTTTGGGACAACCATGACCTGGATGATTCAGAATCTTCATAGACACTCTGGGAAATGGATAAATTCTCAGAGAACAACATAATTCTAATATTTAGTGGGCTTTTCCTATTTATACTTTTATTTTCACCTCAATCATTTTACATAAATGTGGACTGGTTCTCAGTTATTATACTATTCTTTATTTATAGTATGAAGCATACTTGAAACTCTTCTACTAAAAATAATCAAAAGCTAAATTTGGAATATAATATGATCAATCATTTAGTTATGTAAGAAATAGACTATTATTTACTCTGCTCTCAATGTGATATGTAACTTTGCATGTGTATACTCTTTTAGACATCTTCAAAACACCTTTTCAATACTGACTCAACTTGGAATTCTTATCTCTGTGGAAAAATCTCAGTTACAAAATCAGTTGCTTTCAAAATATGTGTGTAGAAATGTTTTACTTGCTAAGTCTTGCTGACATTTTGAGTGATTGCTGGGATTGACATAATCTCATCACTAAACCAATCGAGTAATCTGTTATTTTCTTTCTTTTCTGGTCAAATCTCTTGCAAAAAAGAAAGGTAAAAGTAGAATGGTGAGTGAGACATTTGGGAAAATACTACTATTTCTCAAATCTATCTATATTCAATTTTGAGTGAAAACTATTTTGGTCACATTATAGAAAGCAAATAAAGTGTGATTTTAGGTGTCATGAAGGAACATGACGATCATAACTGAAGTTATGATTATGAATGATACTATTATATACTGCTCACAAAAATAAAGGGAATGCAAACCCCTTCAGTTCCATGGTAAAATGTTCCCTTTATTTTTGTGAGCAGTATATATTATCCCAGAGGAAGCATTTGCTGGATTGTTTTTCCTTAGATCAGTGGTTCTCAACCTTTTTAATGCCGTGACCTCAACCGGTCGTAAGTCGAGGACTAAACCGGTCGTACGTCGAGGACTAAACCGGTCGTAATTCGAGGACTACCCAACCGGTTGTAAGTCGAGGACTTTCCCTGCCCGGGAGCGCCACGCATGCGTGGTTCCGCCCCCTGCGCCGGCCGAGGCGTAGCTGGCAAGCGGCAGAGATGGAGCAGGCTGACCACCAGCTGGCCCAGCCCAAGGGAGGTAAGGCACCTGCTGGAAAAGGGGAAAAATATAGCGGACAAAAAAAATGGTGGACAGCCTTCCTTGGCGACCCCTGTGAAATGATCGATCGACCCCAAATGGGGTCCCGACCCACAGGTTGAGAACCACTGCCTTAGATGCTAAAATAATTTAGACATTTTTTAGTATAATGCACTTAATAAGTTCTTGGTCAACATATTGTGCTCCATCATAAATTCTACACTAAATTATATCCAATGAGATTATAGGATGTAATAGCCATTTGAGAAGCAAGTTGGTCAAATAAAGACAACCTGTCTGACACCTAGGCCTGTCAAAACTGGCCGGAATAATCAGGATTTAAGAATGAAGTTAGTCTGAGCAACTGTATACATACTGCCCGGTCATTCTGTGTGGGGTGTATAAGCCTGGTGCTGGCTGGAACCAGTTTTTCTTCTTTCCCAGATCATAAAAGGGGAGGAGGAATCTCCGCAGCAGAAGCTACATTTCTCTTAGTCAAGTCTGCATTGAAGGGCTTGCTTCCCTTTCCACTTCCCCAGGTGAGAGGGCTTTCTTTTATAACTGTACCTTTATCTCTTTTCTGTGAACGATTTGTTCTACCCCAGCTGGCATTATAGAAGGTGCTTTACAAGGTTGTGTCTCGACGGGCTGGGTGCTGCATGAATCAGATTGAAGATATTTTGCTTTGATGTTTAATCAACTTTCAGGAGAGCAAGCAATTATTTAAGTAAGCAAGCCCAAAGGAGAAATTAACGTTAGGGCTTGCCGAATTTTATTTGGTGCATGAATGGTGGTTGTGAACTCATGCAGTTTATAAATCTGTAATAGCTCTGTGTGTGTTTATTTGCCCTGGAATTAAGGAAGATGAATGAGAAACCAAACTCTTTCCATTAAGGTCTCACACGTAGAGAAACCTATTTATCATATTTGAAATTTCTGCATAAAGAACCTAAGCATAGAGAATCTGTACAAATTGTCTGTGTTGTTTGCTACGGGCTGAAGACGGATGAGCCAAATGGAAACTGGTGAAACCAGATTCTTAAATAGAGGTTTGGAAATCTGATAGTTTATTTACCTAGTCCATAACCATTTTTATTCCTTTTATCCTAGGAATCTTACAGTCCTGCTTAGATACAACTTAATTTACACTGATCTGACCTAAGAAACATAGTGTGGAGCATTGACGAATTAATTATACATTTTGTAATAACTGTATTGTTACTGAACAATGTCTTCAATCTTAAAAGGTAGGTTCCTTTTTTTCATTTAGAAAAAGGAAAGAAAACAAATCACCGTAGGTGTCTGTGTCATATAAGATGTAAATAAATATCTCCTTTATTTCTTAGCATTGATACTGAATTTATTTTATTTTGTCATGCCTTGCATTCTGTATAGCTATGCATAACTACTAAATGACATTCTGAAAATACACAGTTGTTAATGTTTCTAAAGAATAAAAATAGCATTCAGTGGGAGTTTTCAGATTTGAATTCCTCAATTCCTTCCTATCTCACTTGAGCTATTTATCACATAATCTTGGGAGTCCCAAATAGTTTTGACTTGGAACTCATCTCCTATTTTCCTGTCTTTTTCAGAAGGTAATTCTTTTCTTCATTTTAGTTTTGTGTTCCATTTTGTTCTAGCTCTGTTTTTCTACTGACAATCTAGTTTCAACATTCTTCCTAAATCATTAGTGAAAGACACTACTTTGAAAAGAAACTTAGTCCCTTCATCAGAATGCTGTAATTTCTTTGCAGATAAAAAACAAATTTAATCATTACACTGAACTTCAGCAATTAACAGATAATAGAGTAATAGTAGTAAAGGTTAAGTAGTAGTCACCTTAGTTTTGAGTCACTGATTTTATTGTCCAGTGATTCATAAGCTTCCTGTTTTTTTCCATCATTGCATCCATTTTTTTTTCTTTCCCAAGGAAGGATTGTAAAAATTTCAAGGATGAAATAAGGTTGTCTTTTATGTCTCTAGAAAGTCCCATAAATATATAAAGGAATACATTGCCGCACCTTTTTAGAGGCCCTGTTCTTTTCTTTTTTTAATTTAATTTTTGTTGCTATCATATCTCAAAATACACAGATTTGTAAGCACTGGAATTGGTTCTTAGAGAAAGTGAGGTGTAATCTATTCTATATGAAATAACCTTACCCTCAGTATAAAAAGTAATGAGATTCACAAACCCAACCCACCAACCAACCAACAAAAGGTGCTAGAGATGAAGATATGGTTACATTTGACTTACACCTTTGGTCATTTACTTCTTACAACAGGTTAACTGCTGTTCTACTAGTTTCTTTTTGCTTCTAGTCCAGGTCCTTGCGGGAAAACAAAACAAAGAATGGAATTTGTCCCAGTTAACAATTTAGTTTTTTATATTATTTATTCATTTCACTTATAAGCCACTCCATTAATGCTAACTGTCTCACAAGTTTAATATAATAGGATTAAAAACCTAAACCAATTAATGCAACAATAACCAATCAATCTGATGAACCACCATGGCTAGGGGGCCTTTGTATAGATTTGTCTTGTGCACCAATTTTGTCCTTTCCTTCCTGGGCTGGGAAGCCTTGATCATAGTAACCCTGCACTGTGGACACTTGTCATTTGGATTATTGCCATGTGCTTATCTGGGGCTGCCCCAGAATTTACAGTTGGTTCTGAATGCAGCAGTAGGCAGTGTTGGATATCTCTAAGTTTGCTCATGTTATACACTGGTTACCCTGCATTGGTTCCCAGTTACTTTCTGGGTGCAATTCAAGGTGCTGGTTATTATGTTTAAAGCTCTATATGGCATGGGACCAGGATATCTCTGGGACTGCCTCTCCCTAGAACATCTGTCCATCCCACCTGAATAGATAGGTTGGACTTGGTCCAGGTCCCTTCCCTTAAACATTGCCATTTTGTGGGTCCTCAGAAGTTTGCCTTTTCTGTTGCAGTCCCTGCCCTGCAGAACACCCTCCTCACTGCGATTTGAAGGTTCCTTATTTTTCCTTCTTTTTGGAGAACACTTAAGACCTGGCACTTGCCTCAGGCATTGGGCAAGGTTGGGATGGGATAAGAATACGGGTGCATCAGGGAAATGTGGTTATGGTGCCGGGTGTTTCAGTTTTAGTTTTATTGCTACTGGTTGTGTACTGTTTATATTGTTTTAATTGTTTTAGTGGTTATAAGCCACCCAGAGTTGTTTCAAGATGAGCGGCTATACAAATATTTCAAATACTTAGATAAATTTGCAGTAGGGTAATCTACATACCTATGGAATGCCTTTCTGTAGAGCCATGTTATTATGCTCTCTGCTCTCTTTCTTGGAGGGAGGCCATTGAATATCGAGGAAGTAAATAATTCCAATGAGAAGGATCAAGGGACCATAAAGGTGGCCTTTCTTTACTACTGGGACCTTCAGCAAGCCCTCTTTCTTACCAGCTGAGCATATTCTACTCAGGGCAAGTGGTAACAGAGATATTCAGACCCTGACCCATAAAGCCATAGGCTGCTTTCATGCTAAATATAGATTAGCCAAGATTGGCCAAGTTCTTGCTTGCTCCTCTTGCATGATTAAGCAGGGTTACCTAACTTTAGCCTTTGGAATAGGAGTCATTATAGAAGATAAGGACTTCTGAGATAATTTCAGCTACATAGTTAATGGTACTGAATGCCTTTCCTACACCAGTTTCAGGGCTGTGTCTTTGTTAGGCAGAATGACATAATCCTCTCAGAATGGTGGGGAAACAGAATAGCATTGAAAGAAGGAATGGCTTATGCCATATGCTCCACCTAGACTAGTCTCCAATGTAGTGCAAATTTCCCTTTTGTAGGTCAATGGAAATAGGGAGTGGGCCTTTAAACAATATATCCGCATATGCTATAAAGCTATTCTAATGCATGAAATCGTATTGCATATGAAGAAAGTATTCTCGTGCAACAAAATAATGATTTTGTGCAACTATCTAATGCTGGGCCTAACTGGAAATCTTAGATAAAAGAGTAATCTTTTTTCATTTCAATTGCCACTAATCTGTTTTCCACAAGCAATAGTTAAAAAAAAAACCCATCTACCAAATCAGTCATCGTTGTTGCTCTTCTGTTCTCAAAGCTTTCCCTTGAGCTCTACCCTTCCTATGAAGCTTGAGTAGCTGTTCAGCACTGCAACACATAATATGCAGGAAAATGCTGGCTGGCACCGAAAAAGCCTTTCAAAATGTCCTTGTTAGGAAATCAAGGCATATGATGTATTATTCCCTTGGTTCTCTACTTTTCTGATCTGTGAACGTCCCAGCTGATTTCCCTATATTCTGAAATCTCATTGTCTTTCTTAGCATTTGGGAGAGAAGACAAAGACAAGAAGGATGAAAAGAACAAAGGAAAAGAACATAAAGACCATAAAGATGGAGACAAAAAGGACAAGAAAAAGAAAAAAGAGAAAAAGGAGAAAAAGGTAAGATGAGAAGGGAGGAATAGAAATGGCTTCAGGTAAAAAAATGTCCATGCCTTCCATCATTTTTTGAAGGTGACCCAATAATGCATAACCTTTTCTGTAGACCTAATTCAGCTTTCTATCGCCTTTCACTGTAGTGTGGTATATACATTAAGGTCTTGGACTAAGAATGGAAATACAAATTCAAATTTTGTATTTTGTATTGTTCAGATTCATTCTCCATTATGGAAACTCTCTAGTTACAGGCAGTTCTCAACTTACAAAAATTTATTCAGTTTATAATTTATACCGTTTATAGTTATAATGTCATTAAAAAAAAGTGACCGATAACTGTTTTTCACACTAATGATCATTGCAGCATCCCCATGGTCACATGATAAAAATTTGGATGTTTGGCAACTAGCATTTATCTATGATGGTTGCAATGTCTTGGGGATACGTGATCACCTTTTTCGACCTTCTAACAACCAAATTCAAAGGGAAGCCAGATTCACTTAATAACCATGTTACTAACTTAACAACTCTATAGTGATTCACTTAAAAACTGTGGCAGGCAAGGTCACAAAATGGGACAAAATTCACTCAATGACCACCTTGCTTAGCAATGAAAATGTTGGACTCAATTGTTGTCGTAGGTTGAGGACTACTTTTTGATCTAGCCATCAACTCTGAGCTCAGCCTACATCATTTCTCTCTTATGGGAAAGACTGAAGGAAGGAATGTTGCCATGAGGATATACCATAAATCAAACAAAATAAATTACCCTACATGTCTTAAAACTACAATACTGATAGTTTTCACAGAATTCTTAAGGACTGAAAGGGATTTTATGGGATTGTGAGCAATGCTTAAACCCATATTTAAATGAATGAGAATTTTGTTAAATCATAATTACACTCCTCAGTGTCAGCCAATTTCATATGGTAAAGTGGAAGGCGGTATAAAAGCATACCATATTACCAATGCCATAGAGAAGTGGCAAGGAAAATCTTTTGTCATTAATTCACTTTTTGTTGTATGTTTTCCTCCTTTTTGGCTCTTAGCCATGTTAAATCATCAACCTGATACAGTTTTATAGCTTTGGTTTAGTGAGCAGAACTGACCATTTGTTCAAAGGGATCAGAAGCAACAGAAAGGTAGAGTTGCATCATAAGTTAAAGATATTTATCTCGGTTCATAAAGCCAGATGGGTTAATTTGGCAGTGCTGCAGAGAACAGCTGGGTTAAACTGAATGGAAGAAGAAGTAAAAACAATACTGTTGTTATATCTATCAAGCCAAGCAAGAAGGTAATGTTGACGATGTCTTCCAAAAGAAAATGTTCAGAGAGACGTGAAGTTAGTAATGCTAGGGAACTTTAATTGCTCTGGCATCTGTTGGAAAACAAACCCTGCTAAGCATGGTATTTCCACTCAGTTTGCCTTTTGTCTTCTCCCTGACAGAGTAAAAGATGAAAAAGTGAATAAACTGTCCTTGTTTTGATCTAATCAATAGAAAACAATTAGTTGGGTAGTGAAAGTAGGAGGAACCTTGGAGGAAAGCACCCATGCGATGCTGTAGTTTTTAGTTTTAAAGGAAACAACTACAAGTGAAGTCCACATAACATGGACTTCAGAAAAAGGGACTTGAATAAACATAGATCAATTATAAATTGATCCCAAAGCAATGGAAATGGGCTGGGGAGAAAAAACTAAGAATTAGTGAAGAAGCAGATATATTAAAAACAAGAAGTACTAATGAGGATACAGAAATGGAAGATGGCAAATGAAGACAAGCGCAAGGTTCAGATCAAATGCCTAAGTATAGCTATCATGATAACTGCTTGCAGAAAAGATTTGGGAATTGCAGTTGAGTGCAAACTGAATATGAGACCTGCAAAGAGAAGATAATTCAATTTTTTGACTGCATCACACAAAGTATAAATTTCCATTCCAAGTAATCATTCTACTCTATTCTGTTTTAGAATAGAAGACTACTTTTTATTGCCTCGGTTCTGGGGACTATACCTGTGGAATGCAGAGAAAATGGAATAGGATAAATGAAGGGTAACAAAGGTGATTGGAAGTAGAAATTAAGACTTGTGAAGAGAGGTTGGAGTTGGGTTTATGTAATCCTGAACTAAGGGAGATAAAATAGCATTCTTCAAATACTTGAAAAGAAGATATCATAGCAAAAGATCAAAACCTGCTCTCCCTCATTCCAGACTGTACAGAATAATGAATTTCAGTTAGTGGAAGACAGATTCTGATTCAATGTTAGGCGGGGAAAAACCATTCCTAACAGAGTATTCTGACAGGTAAACCAATTATCCAGAGAGATGATGGATACCCCTTCACTGGATGTTTTCAAGCAGAAGTTTAGACAACCATTTGTCTGGGAAGCTAATATTTTGCATTCTTACATTGAGCAGGCGAAATTGGGCTCAATCTGAAGGACCTCTTCCAGCCCAGTAATTACATTCTATATCAGCCCCTGTGGCAAGGTTTTATTGAAATCTTTCATTTAATCATTAGGCCTTCAGAGCTTTCATATTTGAGGCTTGGCAGCAAGTATTTTCTAAAAGTAGTAAATATATGCAGATAAATATGTCTGACAGCAATGCTCTCAATGCAGTGGTTTCTCTCTGAGATGGTTTAATATCTCTTACTCAAGATTATCCTGGTGGCAAGGAAAAAGGATTGAAATGTGAAAATCGGTGACAGGTTTAAGATAAATGAAGATGATTAGAGACCTGGAGAAGAAGGCAAATCATCAGTAATGGTGCTCTGAAACATCTGAAACATCAATGTCTTTTTTAAAAGTATATTTTCCATGCATTTTCATGTTTAGATCAAGGCAGAGTTTCTCTTCTATTTTTCCTGATTGTCTTGGTTCTCCTCAATGTTTTCATGAAATCTGTGACGCTCAGGAAAATGCTTTTGGGGCTAAATATTAGGCATGTTCTGAATTGTGGAGAACTAAAACTTCTGTGTTTTCAAAATATATTGAGGGAATCCACTGTGGGAATTTGAAGCAATGGAAAGTGTGCACAATGTGATAGTTGTGGTCAGCAAATTTTCCCCAATTGTCACACATCATTTTCCAGCAATGTGGAAGAGTGCGCTGGTAAGCAGATTTAATAACTAATGTGTGGATCAACCTGTCATATTCAATTCACATTAATGCTTGGACATTATGGTGGAAGAGAACGAGTAAGACAAAATGCCCCCAATATTTGGTGATTAATATTCACTCAAGTAGTAGAACTTTCCCCTTCTTTCCATCTGCCTTCAGCCATGCAACCCAAAAATATTTCCATAGGATCCTTTAACTTTCCAGATCAGGTTCTGGGAGGAAGAAAGTTCAAGTGGCAAATGTCATTCCATTAACAGTAGGATTTGTCTCCTACTGTGATCTCTTTGGTGTGCATATTTGAGGGGATATAAACATGCTCCAGATAGTAGAGTAGGAGGAAAATTATATGAAAGACTGTCCAAAATGGTCAAAATGCAGAAGGTATCATGCAGAAACCGTTTTAGAATAATGCATCTAAAATTAGTTAATTAAGACAGATTCTTGGTAGGGGTGGAGAAGAAATGTGTGTTCATCTAATCTGAAGCCTGACTTTTGTATTGAATTTTCATGTACTATGATAATATGCCAAGCATTAATCTTGGGCATGACTCAGTTGTTTTAAATCTTTTATGAACAATTCAAATTCAGTTGGCTCTTTCTTCCCTGTTATGAACATGAGTCAGCCTGAACCCAGCCAGGTTAAATAGGAAGAGTTAAATAGGAAAAAGCAAAAAGTTAAATAGGAAGAGGCACTGGGCATGTAAGAATTTCCTTTGTAAAACATGTTTTAAGGAAGGAAGTCATTCAAAGGTTACATTCTGAATGAGCTTTCAGAGTAGATTAAGAGTGAGATAGGAAGCTTGCTTTTAAAACATTCATCTTCTCATATCACAGCATTTTATGGCATATAGGGCATGCTAATACAGTATGTATTGATGGTATGGAGAAAAGATACTGGATGGCATGCTTCAGTTCCTTTTTTCCTCTGAAGGGGTGTAGCAATTTTGGTTCATTCATAACAAAGGCTCAGTGAGATGTATTCTTTAGTTACTGCATTTAACAACTCTATCAGATACCTTTCTATTTCCTGTACATGTAATACATAGAAAAGGAAAGGATCCCACTCATTTAACAAGTAAGTGATGGTAAATTCTAGCATACAGGAGATCCTCATGATAGCCCACATTATCATGCCACAAGGAAAGTCCCATAATTACACCATTCCCTCTCCCATTAAATTAGCTAATTACTATAGTAGTGTGAGCTGGCAAAAAGGCTTTCAACTTTGGCTTGGAGAGTCCTGGATTAACTTGTATAACCACACAGTTGTTTGTACTGGAGGGTGTGGGTAAATCACTGTCTGTTAGGTTTGCATGACATGCCCAACAGTGTAAATGGTCTGGGCAATTTCTGATTTCACTTTTTTGTAGGAATCCAGTCACATGATTTGTNACTTACTTAACAACTGCCTTGCTTAGCAACAGAAATGTTGGGCTGAATTGTGATCATAAGTCAAGGACTGTCTGTAGTATTCTTTGCATTTATGCAAAATCTTGATACACTGAAATCATCTTCTGCTCTCTCTCTCTCTCTCTCTCTCTCTCTCTCTCTCTCTCTCTCTCTCTCTCTCTCTCTCTCTCTCTCTCTCTCTGTGTGTGTGTGTGTGTGCAGTGAATTGTATTGTTCACCAAACTGAGTTTTAAGCCTTCAGTGAAAAAGCAAGAGAAAGCAAGGATTACATTGATTTTATTTGAGGGATTCTGTTTGGGAATGGAGTTTCAAATATAATTCCAAGAATATAAAATCTGTGGGTTGTGTTTATCATTATTCCATATCGCTGGAATAGATTTTATAATTATGCACAATATTTCATAGTATTGTGGCATAAATGTGAGTTCCAATATAATAAGAGAACTCAATCCCTTTCAAGGTTTTATAGATTTAGTCTTGTAGATAGTTTTAACAGATTTTAGGTTCTGCTCATTTTTATAGATTAAAAGGCTTTTATAGCACTACAAACTTGGCTTAGTTTTACACATTTTAGTTAGAATTTATTTCTATTTGCCCATTTTATTATACTGTATTATACGTATGCCAGTCATTAACTAAAAAAATCCTCTTTCTTTAGTGTTTCAAGTAAACTACTATAATTCTTTTACATTCTATAGATTGTTTTTTTTCCCCTCTATTTTTAAATTATTTCTGACTTAGCAGGCTGGAGGGCTAATGCAGCTTGTATCTTTCAGCTGAACTAAAATTGCATACAATGATTCAGTCCAACATTCAGTACTTCTCTGGTTGTTTTGTGACAAATTGGTATGGATTTCTGACTCCTAATTACTTCATAATATCAAAAACCAATATTAATCAATTAATGGTTAATATCAATATATTATCATGATATATAGTATATGATAATAATCAATAAAAATCATTGTCAAATTTGGATAACCAGACTCTTTGATGGATCTTAAGAATGTCACTACACACTACACACACGTACACATAATAGCTTCTATAAAAAAAAAAAGCCTTTTCTGCTCCTTATTCTTCTTGCTTGATGATTGAAATGATTTGCTGGGCTAAAATTTAGCATTTTCCGATGTAAAAAGTAACACACATGCAGGCTGATAATAGAATGGTTTACAGCAAAATATAAACATCATTGGACAAGAACAGAAGAGGCATAGAAAAATTATAATATATTCAAACGTTAGACACATCGATGTTGTTCAATGAAAAGATTACAGTGGGCTGGCCTCACCTAAGGTCTAATTTGAACAGAAGACTGGGCAATTCTGTCTCTCTGTCATTTATGAGTCCATCATGGAAATGTTGCATATTGTTTATATTTATATGTTTATATTGTTCTTGATACAACATCTCTTTCAACTATTAAGTTGTATCACCTGCATGATGACATAATGTTCCCCTTGCCTTCTTTTAATACTTATGAATGTTAAGTGGGTACAAAAAGTAAAGATAAAGGTTTCCCTTGTCCAGTTGTGTCCGATTCTAGGGGGGTGGTGCTCATCTCTGTTTCTTAGCTGACGGAACCAAGATTGTTCAAAGATGCTTCTTTGGTCATGTGGCCAGCATGGCTACATGCTGAGCACATGGAATGCTGCTACCTTCTGACTGAAGTGGTACCTATTTATCTACTTGCATTTGCATGCTTTCACACTGCTAGGTTGGCAGGAGCTGGGGCAACAAACAGGAACTCACCCCAACATGCAGTACTTGGGTCTCAAACTGCCTATTGTCTCGTTGACAAGCTCAGCATCTTAACGGTTAGACCACTGTGCCCCTTGAATGGGTACACAGCTGGCAAAAAAAATGCAAATACTCAAGGAACGTTAATTGCCCCTTATCAAACTGAGAGTGAAAGCAAAAGTGTCACCAGATCATCAGATCCCCCAAGCCTTCAAGTGTTCCACATTTTTTTTAAAGTTCTTAATGAAATAGCTTCTTGAATACTTCATTTAGGAGTCAGAATGAAATGCACAGATACAGAAGAGATATGCCTAGCTTAGCCATACTAGAAAAAGATCTTGGAAGAATAATTGGTTACAAACTGAATGCGAGTTGTGTGGGTGCAGAAAAAAAATTCACAGCAATTTAAGGTTGTTACAGAGTATAGTTGTCCTAGTGGAGGAAGTAATTATCCTACTTTATCCTTCTATTAAATTTTGTTCCAGTGCTGAGCACCAAAGTTTAAGACGATTCAGATAAATTGGGACCGGTTCAGAGAAGGGTATAATCTGAGGTCTGGAAATTAAGTTCTACCTGAAGAGATGGAAGTAACTGAAAATGTTTAGGAAAAACTGAAAGAGTTATAACAGCACTCTTCAAGTATCTGAAACTTGATCAAGGCATGGTTTGTACTGACTCAAAGCATAAGAAACTGAATAATGGTTCTACATTAGCAAAGAGTAATTTCTGATTTATTTTAGAAAAAAAATATTTGTAGCAATAAAAGCAGTTTTACAGTTGGAAGAATTAACAGGAGAAGACATGAGTTTTCTTTCACTAGATATATTCAGGGAGTGACTGAATGTCAGGGATGTTTTCATATGGATCCCTGCACCAAATAGGGGTTGGACTAGATGATCTAAATGACCCCTTCCAACTCTCTGATTCTCTCTCCACCAAACTCATTGCTGCCAGTTTTACTGCGAGCAACCCTCTAAGGTTGTTCAGTGGGATTATTTTCCCATCATAAGTGTCTACACAGGGCCTGTGTGAAAAATAAGGACTGTACCATTTAGGTACAGACTGCCACATACAGTGTCAGTTGACTGGCAAACTCCGTGTTTTATCCTGCTGCCGGCCTAATCTCTTGGGTTTGATTTCCTAGCATGACGGCCAAGATGATGACAGCTCCAGCAGC